TCATAGAATAAAAAACACTCCAGGGATATTTCAACGAGTGCACAATTCCATGAGAAGGAGGGGGGAAGCGTGCATACTAAGTGAAGGGGGCCATTTTCATCAATTTTTGTAATAATTTTTTTAGTTTTAATGTCATGTTTATGTTGTCAGTTTTTGTTGTTCATTACCCCTAATGTGTTTAATTTTTCCAATCAAATTAATAATAATTTTGCAAGTTAGACAATAGAACGGTTTTTAGTTTTTTACTCAAAAAAGGCGCATCCAAAGAAAATAATACAAGGGAGATGATTTGTTTTAAATTAAACGGGAAATACAAAAATAATTTTTGTTTGGCATGAAACCATTGGCGTACCATTTCTTCTTAAAAAATATTCAAGTCAATACCCGTACGCACGCCACTGTTGAAGCTAAAAATTATTTTTGCATTGAAAAATACGCAACTTTATTAACCTTCACACTACGTACTAAATATCAGTGAAATATCTGAAGCGGTTCTGAAAATATTAATTAATTTCCGTTTTTTTCTAAAACTTCAATACCCCGAGGAAACATTTTTGGACAATAGTTTATAAAGCAAACTAACATTAATTTTTCATGTAGATTCACACCCTTGAATATTCGCATATAATTAAGCAATACCCTGTATATCACGTGTTACATTTATTTCCTTTGTTATAATGATTTTTTTGAGGTAGGCGTTGAAAACAAATAATGCTTGACTTGACGCAAACACAATTGTTATTACTGTGTAGTGTTAATATTGCTTCAATATCATCAAAGATGTTAGGTTGTCATTTTAGTAATAAAGAAAATGCTGACGTGCCACATTTTGTGCTACATAAATGTTAGAAATAGAATAGGAAATATATATTGATAAATTTCCCAAAAGGCTGCAGCCAAATAAATCTGTTCATTTTCTTAAGAGTTGGCCCAAAATTGGACAATAGTTTATAAAGCAAACTAACATTAATTTTTCATGTAGATTCACACCCTTAAATATTCGCATATAATTAAGCAATATCCTGTATATCACGTGTTACATTTATTTCCTTTGTTATAATGATTTTTTTGAGGTAGGCGTTAAAAACAAATAATGCTTGACTTGACGCAAACACAATTGTTATTACTGTGTAGTGTTAATATTGCTTCAATATCATCAAAGATGTTAGGTTGTCATTTTAGTAATAAAGAAAATGCTGACGTGCCACATTTTGTGCTACATAAATGTTAGAAATAGAATAGGAAATATATATTGATAAATTTCCCAAAAGGCTGCAGCCAAATAAATCTGTTCATTTTCTTAAGAGTTGGCCCAAAATTTTGAATTTGGATATGGTTCATTCAAAAGAAAAAAGGAATCTTTAGAGGAAACTCAGAATAGTGTTTTACAAGCAGTGGCTGAGAACTCTGAGGTATCAACTTCGCAAATTGGGAAAAATGTAGGACTAGCCAAATCCACAGCCCAATTTATTTTGCGTAAAAATAAATTCAGGATTTGCCAAGGACTTCAATTTCCCGTCAAAAATAATATGATTTGACGAAAGTATGGTCACTAATAATGGCATCTTTAATCACCGCAACACTAATTACTGGGCCCAAGAAAAATCGGCTTAGGTGGGCTAAAGAACATAGACAATGGACACCTCAACAATGGTGTGCAATACAATGCAATGATGAGGCCCGATTTGAAGTTTGTGTTGGTGACAGTTGCAGTAGAGTTATTCGCAAAAACATGAAGCATTCCATGTTGACTGTCTGAAGAGAAAAGTGTAATTTCCAGCATCCATTATGGTCTGGGGCAGTATGTCATCGAAAGGGGTAGGAAAACTTCATTTTATTGATGGAAATGTGGATACAAACAAATATTTGGCAATTTTAGAAGAATCGCTTTTACCAGTGATGGGAGAATGTTTGATATCCGGTCAAGATTTTGTGTTTCAGCAAGATGGTGCAACGTGCCATACCTCAAAAAAGGCTATAAAATGGATGGAAGAAAATAATGTACCACTTTTGAAATTGGATTTCTAGCAGTCCAGATCTGTCACCAATTGAAACTTTGTGGCACGAGATGAAAAAGGTTCTACGACAACATCCTGCTGGTACAATCACCGTACTGAGACAAAAGCTTCAAGAAATATGGAATTGTTTTACACCAAATTTTTGCCAAAACTTGCCCCAAAGAATTTCAGCCGTCCCAATGGTAATCTTTCAATTGTTGCTTTGTTAACTTCGCGCATTTATTCGCATATTGTTTATTTGTTCAGTTGTTCTATTAGTTATAGGTCTAAGTGATTTAAAATATGTATTTTTTACGACTAGAGTGTATCTAAAATGTTTTTGAGAAAATAAATCGTTTTAAAAGTAAATAGTTTCGTCATGTTTAGTTTATAAAGGCATATTTTGGTACAAATCTTGAAGTGGGTCAGCTGAAGTAGGAAGGGGCTCGTATAATGAAATCACATGAAACCCTGGGTATTGAATTGAATGTGCAAGAATAACAAGCAGACAAATGAACAGACCGAACATAGTTGCGCCTGACAAGGAACCTATATGTCACTTTGCTAGATAATATATTACAGGATTTGGTATGCCGGTTCAATGAAGAATCTTTGAATATATACAATTTTAATATTTTCTTTGCGTCAGTATTTAATTCTAAACCTGAAGCTGAAGTAATGGACATATTAGAAACAATCTCTAAATATTTGCATGGACTAAATAGTAACGAAAACAAAAATTTAATAAGTACCAGATTAAAAGCAGAATTTGACCTTTGAAAGTCACGTATACAAGATATAATAGACAGTGGAAATGTCACTGTATTTATCATGTGTTGAAAACATTTTTCCTTCAATTAATAGATGCCTACAATTATTGATTTCACTGCCGGGAAGTATTGCGATATCTCAAAGGAGGTTCTCCCATCTAAGAAGGATAAAAACTTGGTTGCGCTCCACTATATTACAAGAGCGGTTAGTGGGTTTAGTTCTTTTGTATATACATAGGGATATTAAGATAGACGTGAATACTCATATATCGGTTCGCCAGCAAAATGAATAGGCGCCTTGATTTTGTAATATAATCACACCTGAACTCTGCCTAAGGTTGTCTCTCAAATCCATCTCCCTTCTGTTGGCCAATAGATAAAAAAGCAGAAGTAGTTAAGGGTTTACTTACGTTTAAACCATCACGGTCATCTTTTCCAAAGTATCCAATCAAGATATGTGGTTTTATTTATTGCCAGCAGATTGATATAAAAGTCTGTTCAAATTCTGTTCAAATCACTTTCTAAGCTAATGTAATGATGTTGAAACTAATGTAGTTTCATAGTTTATATGTTTTTGTTTTTTGAGACTGGCTAAGAGAATGCAATGAATATTTTTTGTGTTCGTCTCATGATTAAGAATTTTATTTTGATTTACATTCAGTTTTATACTTTATAGAAGTCGTAACAAATTTGTTACTGTTATTTTTTTCATGAAGATGTATGTTTTGTAATTTTGTCTGACATTGTTATGTAGAAAAGTCTGTGATAGATTATATTATTTTGCATTTTTGTTTTAATATTTGAAGATTACTCGAGCTTGGTTTGCTTTATTTATACTTTGATTTCGTATGATTCAAAATTAAGAAAAAATTGTACAGAAATTGCTGTAACAAATTCATATGTCTGCATATGTCCATGCTTTTAATGTTAAACCATTATAACCCTTCAGTACGTCACACTGAGAATTTACTTTCCATTTTACCCCTCCCAGACTGAAATCCTGGGAGCGCCACTGACCCATGATAAGGTAACTATACCGATCTTGATAAAGAAGGTAACAGACTCTTTGCTATGGCTGAACAGGAATAGCCTCAAAGCTCCAGCATAACTGTACACTGGTCATTGCAAATTGCGTCACCACATGAGCGGGATGGGGAAGACGCTGAGTGCAGACTGTGCATGGAGGGAGATGAATACATACTTGGAGACGTAGTACTCCAAGCAGAAGACCTGAAGGATATTTCTACAAACAAGTTGATAGACTTCTTCAGGAGGTCGGAGGTACTGCGGGAAATATAAATAGGTGTGAGCCACAATATACCAAAGAGTCGCAGTGTAGGATCGTTATTCATGCACTCACAAGAAACCTAACCTAACCTATTTATGTTTAGAAAATAATGGCACCCTACTTAAACACCTATTGTGTATAAAATAAAAATAATGTTAAAAATGTATTGGTTAGTCTGAATATCACTAGATTAAGCATCACTTTTATAAAAATTTTAACCCATCATATCATTATCAGTAATCACATAATCTTACACCAAGCATTTGTTTGCAATTCATACTTAAATAAAAAAACACATTTTTCTTTATAACCAAGAAAGCATGTGGTACATCGTTGAATTCGTAGACAAAGATGCGATCAGATACAGGGTATACCTTCTTCTGGCCATATAAAAAAAGTTGGTGATAGTTTCTCAAAAACGAAACGTCGGGCACAACATTTAAAAACACCATCATCTAGTTCCTAAAAAGTGCTAATGATTCCATTAGTTTTTTGATATTCCTTCAAATGAAGCCAGAAAAAACAAAAACAATTTGGCTAAATTTTAGTTTTGCAACTTATAAGGCTTCCAACGGCATGGTAAATACGCTCCAAACAACTCATCCTCTTCCTAATTTAACCTACGCTGGAAGCTCGCCTTAACTTTGCTGTTTTAGCTTTGAATGTTCTATAAGCCCCTATAGTTGCAGAGGTGTGGCAGGTGGGTTATTATTGATGAAGGACACAGAATCTCAAATCAAAAGTTACATTCTCATACAAAATTAAGGAACGGTTTACATATCTCCTACATTTTTTATTTAAGCTCGTAATACGTGGGGATGCAAACGCTGCATTTTTGGCATCAGTGAAAGTCGTTTTATTATTAAGTTTTTGATCTTGGTAATATTACGCATCATCTCTAGTCCACTGATGATCATTATCAACGCCATGTGTTCTTTGTTCCAGCTTGTGGCGACAGTATCCAGGATGCGGTCCACATCACTGCCATCCTGGGCGAGTCCGTGGTGTTCAACTGCCACGTGGAGTTCCCTGAGGGACACCCGGTGCCATACGTGTTGCAATGGGAGAAGAAGGTAGGCGACACGGTACGAACCCATCACCAGTCACACTAACGACTCTCTCGTTGTTTTACGCTCTCTGCTCTCTTGGTATTGTATATGCGACGGGGTCCCGACGGGCCCCGGGGAATTCGGATTCGGTCGAGTCCAGGTCGTATGGCTTTCTGCTTGCGGATCCGATGCTGATATTTTTTGTCTGCGATGGTGTACAGTTACTAGGGTAAAATATAATTAATAATATAAATTGTTAACGATCAATCGTCCAGCTGATAAATTACAAGTACGTCTAGACATTGGGATGGGCCAAAGTTCTTTTGCAATAATGTTCTTAATAGTCCAAACTCGGACCTTAAGAGTAGCCTAATTGGATGCAGGTCCCCTGCTGTGGATACCTTTTTCCGTTGCAATCGGGTTAAAGCACAGTTACTAATATAACATCTGAAACCTTATCTTGTAGCTTTCATGCTGATAGAATTATCCACGTTTGCCTAGCCGCTGGAGGATTAGTTATTGGTAGCTTGGCAATTTCTCCGATTCATCAAGTAGGCGCTTCGCTTAGCACTAGACAATTGAAGGTAACATTCTTCAAAGCTTCTTCTTTCTCTCCGTCCTTTTTTCAAAGGAAGCTTCATACATTCAGTGTCATTTCTCAGATATGCATTGAATAACCAGACATCGGTCTGTCAGTCGGTTTTTCTGTTTTTCCGCTACTCTTTGGCTCCGCTATAATGTGGAAAGTACGTTTCAGATCTTGATGAAACAATATTGCTACTATGGAAAGGACGAAACATTTCTGTAGCTTGAAAATCTTTTCAGCGGCGGAGGTACAAATAAAAAACGAGAAACATAGAAGACACTCTAACTTTGACATTTCAGGCACTCCTTTTTGTTTTTTTTGAGCAGCAAAAAATTGGTCGAGGGCGGTCGTTGACTGCGGATGGCGATGAAGTTATATCTCGATTGTTTGGCGTTTAGTATATTTAATTAATTAAATTCTATGCATCTAAATGACATATTTTACACACGTAGCTTTCCCCGTATATTTGCACTTGGCACTTCATATAGAGAAATATTTTCAACACACGCGTTCAATGCAGCACACGTAGGGAGATATGCTTGTGTCATAGCAATGTTGCTAGGTCGTTGGTACTGTCAGTAGGGTAGCAAAGACATTTCTAGATGTCATACGAGGGATGTCTTTTAAGTTTTGCATATGGAAATAAAACAACATGGCAGGTAGTTTTAAATGACTTTATTGTTTTTCGAAGTATTCTCCACGAAGATTAATATACATCTGCATGCGCTCGTACCAATTTTCGAAGCACTTATCCCACTCGTTTGCTGGCAGATCCAAAACGGCATTTTTGAATGCATCAACTGCTTCTTATGGTGACTGAAACCTTTGACCACGCAGTCTGTTTTTAATTTTCGGGAAAGTAAAGAACTCGTTAGGACTTAGATCGCAAGTATATGGAGGATGATCCAATAATTCCACGTTTTCTTCCGTTATATACTGCCTTGTTTTTTGGCCTGTGTGCGAGCTTGCTTTGACTTGGTGGTGGATGATTCTTCATTCGGGGTTGATTTTTCGAAGCTCGGTGATGACTTTTGGCAAAGAAATGGTGGCATACCAATCCGCAGTAACAGTTCTTTGCTCATTAAGAGGAATTGTTGCAACTCCTAATTCTTCATGTAAAGTTTTTTGAATTGAGGTCTTTGAGATCTTCAAGGACGCCACAATCTCCCGTCCACGTTTGAATTCTCCATACCAACGGGAAATTGTCGACTGATGTGGCGCTTCGTTTCCGAAAATAGACAGTAACTCAGCAAGGCATTCTTGTTGCGATAATTGTCTCTGGAAGTTGTAATAAATTATGGCGCGAAAATGTTCTCGGTTGAGTTTCATTTTTCTAACGACTTGGTGACACTTAAAAATTTTCTGTAGTGAGAACACTGCACGTATTGTTGTGAAACTTTGAATTTAAGCTTACTAAACAGTGAGGTTAAGATTCAGTACTGACGTTCGATCCGCGCGGCCTACTATGTTTCTATATGCAAAACTTGAAAGACATCCCTCGTATCGGTGGGTACAAGGGACTCATTATGTAGGCTGTTAGACTTTCTGTTACACATATTCGCAGTTAACCTTTTTTCTGAGACAGAGAGAGAGACTTACTTGTTTCGAACATAATCCTTTATTAAATGATGACAGTGTTGCGTGAGAACTCCAGAAACAACATACTTGATGCCATACTTAAAGCTACGTCATCAGCTATTGGCAACAAAAAAGTACTAAACAGAAGAGCTTTGGCTAACATCTAGGCGTACTTGTTAATTGTTACAGTGTCCGTATTAGCAAAGTTTAATTTAAAGAAGCCGTTATTGAACAATTTGTGGTGCCTGGATTACTAATTCAGTAAATATGATTTATAATTATTAACCTCAAACAACACCAATGTATGCATCCGTTATAAGATGTTAACGCTATTATTTTCCTTAATAACTGTACACAACTGGCTTATTTCTGTTTAAGTGTTAGGTCTTGCACTTCAATGTAATATTTTCGCTGCTTGAGCCGAAATGGTACGTGTTGCGATGTGTGTTGAAATGCAATCATTTCTAACAAAATAAGATTGAAAGATAGATGAATTCACAATATATGATATCATTCAGCTTGAAAGTTTTCAAATTGCATTTTCTCTTTACTGCGGCACCAGCGCAAAAATATGATATATACTCAGTGACAAATAATAGAATATCCAACAGAAATAAAATAAATTTTTTTAACAGTTAGACGTAAGCAAGATGAAGTTGTGATTAAACTTTGTAAAGTAACAACATTTACGGTAAACATTCGTTCAGTCGTTGGGGCATGAGGTGATTTTTGTCTTCTTGAGATAAGTGTTCCAAAGTATCTGTACTTGGTTCCAAACAGCTGCAAACTGATGAGGTAAGGAAACTCCAGTTCTTCTTATCATGTTCCATGCTCGTTTAATTGACGAGTTGTCTGCTGATCTAGCAGGTCAAGGAAAGTGGTTGACAGTTATTTAGTGTACTGTAGCTCTAGCAATATGGGGACGGCCATTACCTTGTTAGAAAATAGGATTCTCAAACGTTTGGGCGAAAAGGTAAAAGGTAAGACTGAGGTGACTTATACAGGAACACCATAAATCCTTATACTAAAAGTTGCTTTCCAGTGGTTTTTGGTTTGAGAGTGATACGCTCCCGAATTGCTCTAGAAAGTTTGTATGGGAATGTAAAGTGCAATGCAGTTACTCGGGGTAACTCAATAGGGTTACACACAAAGCAGCAATCGGGCAAGTGGCGTTCAACTGATAGCACTACATTATGTCTCCGAAAGTACTTATTACTTGTGTCCGTCCACAATGCATCCCCAAAACGGATCTAAACCGAGATATTGTTTTTAGTGAATATCTACGTTTTGTTAAATGAAAAGTAGTAATAATAGACATCTTTATTTCTTTACAACACTGTAATGCGGCTAATGTTATACTTAAATGGCGAACTTTAGGGTTAGCTACTCTTACATTTAACTATAAAAGTCACTAGCAGTTGTTAATAATGATGAAATATTATTCACAACAAATTTGAATTCCTAGTAATAAATTATGACAGCAAAGCGAGAACTGGTATACTTTCCCAAGGCAAAGTACATCAAAAAGTAAAAAGCAAAAACATGGTTATGAAAGTAAAGAAAGCATGATTGTGTAATGAAGTCATTGAAATAATGATAATTTCACTTTTTGTTGAAGAGCTGGAGTATTGCTCATATAATTTTGGCAAATAATTATACAGGGTGGCCCATCTATGTGTGGACGGAATATTACTCATAAACAAATACATTTCGGGCAAATATATTCATTTGAGGGCACATTTCTAAAATATTGGCAACTATACAGGGTGTCCCAAATTTGACCTACATATAAAAGTTGTGATTTTTTAAATGGAATGCCTCAAATTTTATTGCATATTTGGATAAACCAATTCAAAAGAAGACAATTGATGTATCATGAGATTTTGGTAATTAGCTACAATCCGCCATTTTGAAATTTGGAGTGCTGAATTTTGTATAAAAAAACATACACACCTCAGCTTTTATCTTATTTGTTACCTTTTCGAATTTTCATTTTTGCTCATACAGAGTGGTCAAAAACCAGAATTGTACTTTTTCTCAAATAATTCAAATGTATCAGCTTGTACATTTGTGCAAGTTTGGATTCCATTTCTTATAAGCTTTTTTTGGTATGTAGTTTCATTTTCAAACACGTTTTTATTATAATGCTCACAAAGCTAATTTTAAAGGTTTGTAACTAATCAACAATTTGTTTTTTTCCAAGGATGATGCCATTTTTTTGGGAATTAAGCCGTTCCATAAAAGACCTGCTAATAACAGTGATCAACAGCCAAGAAATATCCTAAATAAAATCAACAAAATATTACTATTTTTAATGTGCTAAAACCGGAATGAAACTTATTTTTTCAATATTAGTTGAAGTTTTAGAGATACGGTAATTATATGTGTTCCTACTGTGACAATGTTAATATACTGTAATTCACAAGAATGCACGTGCTACATTTTTATATTCGGCAAGGAAAGATGATGTAATCGGCATGATTGTGTTACGTTATACATACGTGTACATTTTATTGTTTTATATTAGCCATTTTTTCCTCAGTTGGCTGACAGCGTTCATGCAAGATGTCTCGAAAGTGTGTAAACAATCCAGATCAGTTTTGTTACGTGTGTGGTGATGTGACTTTTGCATCTCAGAGACGGTATATTACTCCACTAATAACAAAGGCATATCAGCTTTATTTCGGTTGTAAACTAGGTGATCAAGACAAACAGTGGGCACACCACATCTGCTGTAATACATGTGCTTCAAGTCTGAGGAGCTGGTTAAATGACAAAAAACGGTCTATGCGCTTTGCTGTCCCAATGGTTTGGAAAGAGCGTACAAATCATATTAATGATTATTACTTTTGCATGGTACCTTGTGTTGGACAAGCCACAGGTATGTCCAAGAAAAAAAAATCGGTTATTAACTACCCAAACATACCATCTGCGATGAGACCTGTGCCTCACAGTGACGAAAATCCCATTCCAAAACCCACAGAATCCTACACTTGCGAATCAGAAAACGAATCAGATCATGGCGATCGAGTGATTCGTCAGGAAGAAGATATGCCATCAACGTCAAGAGATCCTGATTTTATACCGAGCACGTCATGCCACCAACCGCACAAAATAACACAGTCAGAATTAAATGATCTTGTAAGAGATTTAGAACTTCCAAAATGTAAGGCAGAGTTACTTGGATCAAGACTGCAGCAGTGGAACTTGTTACAAGACGTTTCGGTATGTGTTTTTCGTAAACGCCACAAAGACTTAGAACCATTTTTCAATATGGAGAATAACTTGATTTTCTGCAGTAACATTAACGGCTTACTGACGGCTTTAAATATAAACTATAACCCAGAAGAATGGAGATTGTTTATAGACAGTTCAACATTGAGTTTAAAGGCAGTGTTATTGCATATTGGAAATATTTTACCATCTCTTCCTGTAGGGTATGCAGTTCACATGAAAGAATCATATGACAATATAAAGTACCTATTGACATGCATAAAATACGATGAGCACCAATGGCATATTTGTGGCGATTTGAAAGTTGTTGCACTTTTACTTGGGCTGCAGCTAGGCTACACAAAGTTTTGCTGTTTTTTGTGTGAATGGGACAGTCGGGCAAAGGCACTTCATTACACCAGACAAAACTGGCCTGTTCGTCAATTCCTAGAGCCAGGTCAAAAAAATGTACAGCATATGCCATTAGTAGATTCGAAAAAAAAATTATTACCACCACTGCATATCAAGCTGGGCCTAATGAAAAACTTTGTCAAGGCATTAGATAGAGATGGGTCAGCTTTTCAATACCTGCGTCAGAAATTTCCAAGACTAAGTGAGGCAAAAGTTAAAGAAGGTATTTTTGTTGGGCCACAGATTCGAAATATTTTGAAAGATACACAGTTTGAAAACACTTTAACAGGTATTGAAAAAACTGCTTGGAATGATTTCCGTCTGGTGGTCACTAATTTCTTGGGAAATAGAAAAGCTGACAACTATAAAACCCTTGTCAAAAATATGCTGTCATCGTATCAAAAGATGGACTGTAATATGTCTCTTAAGATACATTTCCTACACTCACACCTAGACTTTTTTCCTGACAACTGCGGAGCCGTAAGTGATGAGCACGGCGAACGTTAGAGATGCTCCAGAAACGATCCATAAAAGAACAGCAAAAGACAGCGCATATAGTGATTCTTATAAGTATATGAATCTTGTTACTTTTTTTAATATATCCTTAAAAATAAAAAGTTTTTTTTTCTAAACCGCAACTAATTTTTTTATTTCATTGTCATTTTTAGATTCAGCGCCCCAAAATTAACAAAGAAGTGCACTTTTCCCACAAGATACAATTAAAAAACTAAAATTTGTTGTCCAGTGTAACCGAAAAAAATAGCCGTAAAAGCCCTTATGTGTCTGGTATCAAAAAAAGCTCATAAAAAATTGAATCCAAACTTGCACAAATATACAGGGTGAGGCAATTTTTGAGAAAAACTACAATTTGCGTTTTTGTCCGCCATGTATGAGCAAA